GTAACATTCAAAAAATTTTTTCTAACAATAGTCATTTAAAAAAAGTGTGTCATTTCATATAGAAACGTATCATAATTAAGGAAAACTAAAACAATTCCACGCTTTCAAACGATGGAATGCCAAGAGTTTTCCACCTTTAAAATCATCATTGGAAATAATCCGCATTAACATCTGGAAATGATCCAAGAACAATATAGAGATGTATTCAGTCTCAAAATCATACACGCTACACATCATCAAAAGTTGTAATCGTTCGCATCACCCAAATTATTTTATATATGATTATAATGAACAGTAAGAATTGCAATCGTTAGCATTGTCGAAATGTTTTTTAATTTTATAATTGACTAATATTATATGACTCCACTGAAGAAGACTGCGTACAGTCGAAACGTTTGTGATTTAATGTATTATTATGTGATGGTTTTAAAATAAAAAATTATAATATTCATTAACATCCGAATAATTTTATGCTTTTTAGTTGGCCTGTACTGACATTAATTTTTACAATATTATAAAACTTAACATTTAATAACAAAATTATAAACAATTACTTTAAATTGTGATGTAAGATAAGAGATACGTGTATTATTCGTAACTACGGTTACACGCTAATTTTCCGTCGACAGCGCCGCCACGCGAAAGTTCAGATGGAATAAAAGGGTATGTTGCCTTGTCTTTGTATATCTATCTCCCTTCCGCAAATAACTGATTTGATACGCCTAAATGTAATTTTTTTAGGTGTGTGAATTAATATTTAATTGATAAACGTTTGGGTTTGTAATAATAACATCGTGTTTATCTGATTCGAAAATGTCAAAATTAAACCAAAACAGCATTATATGCGACAAGTTCTCATTTTCTGTTTTTATTTGAAGAAAACAGCTGCTGAAACTCATTGAATGCTCGTAGAAGCTTATGGTGAAAGTGTTCCCACCGATAAATCAAGCAGAGAATAGTTTCGACGTTTCAAAAGTGATAATTTCAGTGTCGATGACAAATCTCGTCTAGGTCAGCCGAAGAAATTCGAGGACGAGAGCCAAAAGGGTGTAGTGTATCATGAGCTATTAAAACAGAGCCAAACCATCACTGCCGAACTTTACTAACAACAATTAATCCGTTTAAACAACGCATTGAAGTATAAGCGGCCGGAATATGCAAAAAAGATATGACGAAGTGATCTTCCAGCACGTTAACGCTCGGCCATATGTTGAAAAGATTGTGAAGGCCACCTTGGAAGCACTTGGCTGAGACATTTTGCTTCACCTGCTATATTTACTAGACATTGCTCCATACAATTATCACTTGTCCAGATCGATGGCACACGGGCTTTCGGATCAGCACTTCAATAATTTATGAAGAAATAAAAAAATGGCTTAACGGATGGAGCCAAAAGATGCTTCAAAGTACAAGTCGTTTTTCCGTCACGGAATACAACAACTGCTAGACAGATAGGAAAAAATAATAGCAAGCGATGGCCAATACTTTGATTAGTATACTTTTTCTGTCTTTTCACACTAGTCTTTTTTGGAAGAAAAAAAATTCACACACCTAATATTAGCAGCGTTTTATTTTAGATATGTAGATGATTACACCTTGATAATTCCAGAAACGGAGATATCACATACATTAGGGACTTTTAACTTTATTCACCCGAGGCTACAATTTACCATAGAAATTTCAGATGACAAGTTAAATTTTCTCAACGTCACAATGGTTTTATTAAACAATCATGTTATTTTTTAATTGGTATCACAAACCAACATTTCGTTATTTAAACTTCTATTCGTAACATTCGATGTGTCAAAAAAGAGTTCATTTATGGCATTGTATAGAGACTTTTTTTGCATTTATCTTTTGCATCCTCTATTTCATAGAAAAAATTTAGAATTTAGTATAAGAGTTTTATTTAATAATAGTTACCCGTTGGAATTTATTTTCCGAACAATTCTAGATTGAAATTTTTAATAAATAAAAATAATGCTAATGTGGACAGTCAGCTCGTTTCTAGTGATAATCGGATTATACCATTATTTTTTTACGATTCCTTATATACCGCTAGTTTTGGTTAGTTTTAAAAACATAATAAAAGATCTTAATTTGAGAATTTCATATTTTAGTAAAAATAAAATGAATAAATTTATTAAGGTCCACAAAAATAACATCCCCAAAACAAATTGTTGTAACGTAGCTTATAAAATTAACTGCTTGAATTGTAACGCCCTTTATGTGGAGTAAACAGGATGACCAGTTACATACAAAAATTGAACATAGTAATCATATTAACTAAAAGAATAGGACTCACTCTGTTATTACTAAACATAGGTTTAATTCTGATCATCAGTTTGACTGGAACAACAGCTCACTTTTAGATGTGGAACCTATCTATGGAAAAACTTATTCTGAAATAACATATTATGAGACAAAAAATGGTCTTAATTTACAGACGGACACAGATAAATTAAATAAGAATCTCATTAATTTAATCAACCGTTTCTCAAAGATTAAAAAATTTTGATATATTTATACTTATAACTTTATTTGTATCAATTTGTGTTTAACCTTTTAAAAAAATTATTTTTAAATTTATCAATAATACTTGCAACATATTTTTCCTCGGAAATAGAAAAGACGCGCAAATTCGTGTCACCTTTGTGCTATGCACGCTCCTCACTCTCGATATCTAAGGTTTGAACGTCAGGTACGGTCAGGCCGCACTACTCGGAAGAAATCACGAAATTCTCGTAATACACGACGGCTCAACCTCGGTAACTCAGTATCTGTATCTTGGTAGAGTGGCGTGGTTCTTTTTCTAAAGAGTACTTAAATTTTAAGTTCCGGACAGAGAGAGAGAGAGAGAGAGAGAGAGAGAGAGAGAAAGAGAGAGAGAGAGAGAGAGAGAGAGGAAACAGGAATATGATTAACACTTTCAGACATAAGATAAAAGAGTAAAATATATACATATTTCCAAGAAGTGTGTACAAGGTCTCGGTAGAATAGGATTGAGAAGCTAGTCGGAAATTGTTGTTCCTTCCGACGTAATTTCACGATTTTACAGTAGTGTCGGTACTAGCTCGGTACTTTTGATATTCTATTTTCTCCATATACTCTATAACTTCTTACAGCGTACTCGATATCATTACTTAATAAAGACTCAATATTACAATGTGTGACAAACAAATTTCACGCGTACAAACGGACTGTCGGTTCGTCGGCGCCCCTCGGAGAGGCTAGGAAGGCGAAAAGAATACGTAGTTACGCGGATTTCCGACGCAGGTCCCGTGCTTCGTAATTGCAATTAACTCAGTATTACTATTAGTCATTTTGAGCTCATAGACTCGGTACGCAATATCTCCTTGAATACACGGGTCCCGGTCGGGTCCGCGCTTACCGGAATGTCGAAGTGGTGGCCTTATAATTCTATGGACGTGGTCCAATGTTCCTCGTGTCGGGATTACCGTCTAGCCGAACAGTGAACGGCGTTGGGCCGGCGTTATGCCGGTAGCCTCGCGCGGTGGCGCTGTGGTCGCAACACGCGCCGCTCCGAGTCAGCAATCGATCCTGATATCGATGTCCTCCTCGCCGCCTTTCACGGGCTCCTAAATGTTGCAGGATCTCGAACTCGCCCTCGGGAATTCATCCGCAGAAGGTCTCTTAGGCGGCCCCGTGTCTATCCCGGATGGTCCTTGTTTTCCTTTTCGGCGGACCATTATGTTGCAAGGACCGTCTCAGGATGATTAAGCCCGAGCGATCCCACTGTCCTCTCGGAATGGTGCCGCGGGCCCCTCGGGAATGGTCATCTCTGTCTTGAGATGCAGGCGCCTGTTCTCTTCCTTCAATACTGCAGATGGTCGGTTATCCGATGCTGCAAGGAATATAAAAGCAGTAACAGCCCTTACGCGACTCGGTACAATGAATTTTTCTAATTCGACTTACGTAGCCGCGCGTGTCTCGGCTCCGTGCGCACCGCCTCGACCACGCCGCTCCATCCTCTTTCTCTGCTCTTCTCGGGACCTCTTCTTCCTAAAACAATTCCTTTTCAAGACCACGCACCTCGACCTCCGCCAAACAAATTGATAATGGCGAGTCGACGACAAAATCGTCGCTCGTCCGAGAAAATATTAAAATCGGAGCGCTCTCCGCTCCTTCCCAGCCGGGCGCATCAGCCCTTGTAACAGGCGTAAAATGCCACGTCACACACTTTCTATTTTAGTCTGTTCAAATTTGAACATCTCAAGTTCGCCTTCCGTTTGAGAAGGTTGTATAATTTTTTAAACAAAAATTCTTTGTGATGTAGTTACAATTACTTGACCATATCCATTATAAGCTGTGTATATTTTTTGTTTTTGGTGTCCGATTATGAGTAATAAAAATTAGTTATTTACTTTGACTTCTTGAGTAACTACAATTATAATTTATTGCTTAATTTCTTAAATTTTATGATACGACTCTAATGAGTTTCTCATTATGGTGGCCTGTGTTTTTCTGCTCCTGGCTTATCAATCTTGAAGGAATTTAATATTGTGTGGGCGTTATGATGACGATAATTAGAGATTTGATTTTAATTACTCTATCGGATTGGCGGATTTGTTATGGATTTTTTAATGGAAAATTTGTCTGGGCGTAGATATAAACCTTTATTTTTTATCTTCTAATTTTTGTTTATATGGGATGATTTAGACTTTATTAACGCTGAAGATGGCCCTAAGAGGGATTCGAAATGTCCGCTATTATTGTTGAGATTATGTGTGAAACATTTGTCTACTTGTATGAATAATAAATTTCGCGATGTCAACTTTAGATAAGTGTGTCTTTAGATAAGATTGTCATTTTTATTAAGATTTTTTGCACCTGACGTACGGTGCTAGGCTCCTATTGCCATTTACTCTATTTTTTTATGTTGAGAGCTATTTATAACAATTTATTTTAATTTAAATTTTATTATATAGGATTTGTGCACACTGTATATTTTATTTCAAAAACTGTTGCATTTTTTACAGCTCCGTTAAGTCGTGAATGGCCATTAATATCTTCACCATTTCCATTAATGATGATAATTTTTGGATATTTGTATTTTATTCTTTATATTGGACCTCACTACATGATAGGTCGATCGCCATATAAATTGAAAACCTTGATATTGCTTTATAACTTTATACAAATTTTAGCAAACTTATGGATGGTACAAGAACATATATCTTTTGGCTGGTTTTCAAAATATGGCGTATTGTGTTCAGAGCCATTTCCGCATTCTCCCAATACGCTTAAAGTATATTTTTATTATATGTAATATTATAATTAGTTATAGATTATATATTGTCTGTTTGAAAAATAAGTTGTAAATAATTTTTAAATATAAATAGACAATGTGAAAGCGAGTAGAGTAAATATGATAATATGGAATATAAGATTATGAGTGGCCTTATATTCTACTCAAGAAATTGTCAGCTGTTTAAAAAAGAAGTTCTAAGATCAAACTTTTGGTTCAATAGAGCCTTCATATTATTTCTACTTACACATTAAATGTTTGCAAATTACAAATATATAAATTTTAAAAGTCGTAATAATTTCAGTTTCGAAGAGAGAAAATTAAGACAGTGTTAGAAAAGTATTATATTAATATAATTATATTATCGATAATTATTGAGCAGATCATTATTACACAAATTAGTACACAATTAAGTAATTTTTTTCATTTAATATTATACTAACTTAAAATTCTTTCATTTCCGTTTTTAATTAGATAATTTTGTGATAATTACTGTGAGATATTTCCTGTTGTTCGTTATTATTCACATTTTATATATATATTGTCTATGTATGTAACAAAATATTGTCTATGTATATATATATATATATATATAGCCAATATTTTTTTTATTTTTTTTTAATAGCACTTTGTGTGCTTGATTTTATCAAAGTTTTGTTTCAGATGTTCAATTCTTTATGGTGGCTATTTATATTAAAAATATTCGATCTGATAGAAACTTGTATATTTGTGTTGAGGAAGAAACAGAATCAAGTTTCCACTTTGCACGTCTATCATCATGTCTCTAATATTTTTTTTGTTGGGTTTATTTAAAATACATTTTGGACGAGAGAGCGTTATTAGTTCCTCTACTTAATTGTGGGATACATGTAATTATGTATGTATATTATTTTGTTTCTGCATTGGGCCCGAAATATCAACAAATGATATCTTTTCTCAAACCTGTTATAACTAAAATACAAATGGTAAGTTGCATTATATTTTATTTATAATAAAACTTTATACACACACGAGTGAGTATGCATGTAAAAATATATTAGGGGTATTCTACACAAAAGTTTTAGTCTTTCTACATATTGATACAATTTTTTAAGATATTAATAAATTTTTACCCTTTTGTGTTTTTTTTAAAATGTTAATATTAACATCATTTCAAAACGTTAAATATAATTAATATTAAACATCATTTCACAAAATAAGATGAGCGACCAAAAGTTTTATAATCGTTATGTACATTTGATATGAATTTCAATAAGGAAAGAACGTCGTTATAAGTATATACATAAATTAATTTATTCTGCTCTTTGTAAAGATGTTCTATCCATAATACTTGCAAATAGTAATTTTGATGTTAATTGTCAATCACACTTTAGAATGCCACAAAAACTAAAAACTAATGATTTGCAAGTGTTATATATACAAGGTGTTCCAAAAATAACGAACCATCCTAATAATTCTTCAGTATTGAAGTTTCAAGAAAAATGACCTGAATAAAAGTTGTGAGAATTTAAGTAAGCTACCTTATGATGACCTTGACTTTGACCTTGATCTCCATTTTCAAAATTATTTGAAGGTCAACTCATGTTTATTAAATAGAAACCCCTATTTTTGATCTCAAATTCTGAAAGAGCGGAAAATTTCACGTTCAAATATGTATCTATGAAAATCGAAATGAACTGTAGCGGTTATTTGAAGATCAAATAATTATTTGAGAGCACCGTGTAGTAATGGAATACGTTCCCAATGTTCACTTGATTGAACAAAATATTAGGTAACCATTGCCTGCATAGCAAGCTGAATTTTCAGACCGCAAATCTAGCCACTGAAGTAATGATCCAGCCATTGAAGGCAAGATCTAAGTTATTCGGCCAATAAATGCAAGATGAAGGTCGCTTCTGAGATTGGATTCTCACTTATGTGTGAATGGAAAACTAGTGGATTAAATAATAATAAAAATGAAATATCGACGGCAATCAGAGCCTGTGCGGATGTCATGCACAAAATTAATAAATTGAAATGAGATCTCAAATAAAACTCATTTATTAAATTCTAAACGTTTTGACCCACTTCGGGTCTTCTTCAGTAGAATCCTCAAAACAAATTATGTGCGGATTCGATAAAGGAGCGAATACTAATGTAGTATATAAAATCAACTGTAAAAATTGTGATGTTTCATATGTAGGTCAGACTAGCAGAAAATTGAATACTAGGATATTGGAGCATAAAAAAATATCAATAGAAATTGTTTTAATAAGTCAGTTGTTACTGATCATAGAATTGAGTTCTGATTTTGACATTCCATGATTTTGACTGGGATGAAGTAAAAATTTTAGATAAAGAACCGTATTATAATAATAGATTAATATCGGAAATGTTATATATAAAAAGACAATCTAATGAATTGAATCTACAAAATGACACTGAATATTTACCTGATATATATAATAACATTTTAGAGTCTCTACCAAAATCATCAGGGTCAAAAAACAAGCCTTGATATACAGGGGTTAAACACTGAGTTACTGTCTCGTTTGATATCTGAGAGCCGCGATGGTTAGACGTTTTGTTTTGTCTTTACTTGAAACATCTAAAAAATGTCAGACCTGATACTTGAAACATCTATATAAAAAATCACCAATTTGTTGGAGTAAGTGTATAGTGCATTTTTCTTAATAGATCATAATGAATAATTAGATATTGTTTATATAGATCTCAATCAAATACTTAACATTATTACATCATGAAAATTGAATCAAGATATTTTCCTTGACCATTAAAGGGTAATACTTATAAATAATTGTATTGTACGGTCGCTTGAACTCAGTATGTATCAGCATTACTGGTGTTATACTCGATAACTTTTTTAACAACATATGTAACGAGATCAATAACTGTTTTGATATTTATATGTTTTCTTGACATTGTCAATAACCGTTTTTAATATTTAATGTTACAATCTCTTTTTAAATTTAATTTGTAAGGTTCAATTTATAATTAAAAATCTATGTATTGCGCTGAAAAAGGCTTAAAATGTCAGCCGAAATGTTCGCAAATGATGACTTTTTATGTAATTACTATTTGGTTTAAATGAATTTTCTTAATATCAACTGTTAACTGTCTTACGTTTAATAGCTCTTACGGCCCTTCTAATACTATAATGCTTAGATAGAAATAAGCTTAAATGTTTAGATAGAATAAGAGAAAAGTATTGTTTCGTAAGTGTCTGAATAGCTCAGTTGGAAGAACATTTGCGCGGCAAGCGGAAGGTCTCGGGTTCGATTCCCGATTTTGCCAACTTTCGGACCAATATTTTTCTCGCCTATTTCTTTAGAGGGGAAGTTAGAAGAGGAACAAGGAGAATTCTTGAGATCTCAACCATAAGATACAGATTCTCAAATTCCTTAATTTTTTGGTTAATTTTCGCAATAACATCGCGTTTGGCTCTGTGGCCGAGAAGAAGGAGGTGTACATCGTGTTTATATTAAAAGAGCCGATCTAATATTCTTATTATTGTTTATTCGCGTCTGAGCCTAATTACGACGCTTTAGGGGGTGAAAGCATTGAGAAAAGTATTGTTTCGTAAGTGTCTGAATAGCTTAGTTGGAAGAGCATTCGCGCGGCAAGCGGAAGGTCTCGGGTTCGATTCCCGATTTAGCCAACTTTCGGACCAATATTTTTCTTGCCTATTTCTTTACAGGGGAAGTTAGAAGAGGAACAAGGAGAATTCTTGAGATCTTAACCATAGGATACAGATTCTCAGATTTCTTAATTTTCTTGCTTAAGTTTTGCAATAACATCGCGTTTGGCTCTGTGGCCGAAAAGAAGGAGGTGTATATAGTGGATTAAATGTTCAAATTAAAGGCCTCCAATCTCTTGACAATATGTCGTACATTAATAAAAATCAGAAGCAGATCTTCTTATCATATCTTGGTTTATCAAGATACACTCTCGGATAATATGATTTCGGAGCTCATATATATCATTTGGCTTTGTTTCATAGATTCTACTCTTCAGATAACCCCACAGAAAATAGCCAAGAGGTGTCAGATCTGGGGATCGAGGAGGCCATTTGATTTCACCTCTTCTTTCAATCCATTGATGATGAAACTGATTATTAAGAAAATCGCTAACAATTATGGCATAATGAGGTCCTGCTCCATCTTGTTGAAACCAAATTTGTTCAAATTACCTGCAATCTCTCTTATTATTGGTATTATTTGATTCCTTAACATATCCAGATATTTTGCGGCGTTCAAATTACCATCAATAAAAAAAGGAACCTCTATTGAATTATTCAAAATACCTGCCCAGATATTCATTTCTGTGGATATTGAGTAAGAGATTTTTGCATCCAGCGTGGATTGGTGTCACTCCAATATCTGCAGTTGTGTCTATTCACTTCGCCCTTTAATGTGAAAGTATATTTATCAGAAAATACTACATTGTAAGAAAAATCTTGGTCCTTGTCGTGCAAATCCATCATCACAAAATTCTATTCGACGATCGGCATCGTCTTTATTGAGTTTCTGAACTAAGTGAACTTTATATGGATAAAATTTAATTAACTTCAAGATTTTATGAACAGATGCTCGAGTGTTTTCATGCTGTTCAGCTGCGTTGCAAATAGAAAGATGAGGGTTTTCTACAAATGTTTGTGCAATCTCCATCTGATTCTCCTCATTTGTAACTGATTTAGGCTATCTAGATATCTGGCGATCTTTTACTCCACCAGTAGTTTTATATTGCTGCATAGTTTGAATGACTGTGGATCTCAAAATTAACAGTTGATCATCATTTCAGAACGTTTGATTAAATATTGTTCGAGTTTGCGAGTAAAAACGTTGAAGATCACTCCAACTTCGTAATAGTGTTAATCGTTCCTACTCACTAAGTTGTACATACGCCATAGTTTAGAGATAGAAATTGACTGAACATATAAAATACTTGGAAGATTTCCAAAAAAGATTGTTTAATTCGAGAGAAACTTTTTAATAATGAAGTGCTCTAAAGAAATACGTAGTTGTATCAAAACAATGTCGGATGAGTATAGTCAATTTCATTCATAATATTTTACTAATGACAACATGAGTGTAAACCTCTACTTTTTTAACATTAATCCATACTACAATTTTGATTTTGACACAAAATTTATACAGCTTTGGATTCATTCTAGTTACACTTAACGGAATATCTAGAACCTCGCTTTTGATTAATTAAACGTGGATTAAGTAACACTAGCAAAAGCCCATAAAAGAAGGAGTAGAATCTGCTGATCAGATCGGCATTCAAACCAAACTGTACATGTTCTTTCCGGTGGAATTTCATCACCATACACTTTGAATAATGAGCAATGCGTTTCAGCTGCAGTTTTTTTGAGGTCAAAGTAGTAAAGAAGCACATATCAGAAAAACAGCTTATCGCGGTTAATTTTCAATCAATTAAAAGATTTCTTTGGCGTCGAGAAATCTAACCAGTGAGGACTGAATCTTTTTCAGCAATATCTAAACTACAAAAAACATGCCGACTTCATCGTCGAAACTTGCCAGAGTTCCAGCCGGCATTCTCTAATAGTGAGCCGCAGGAATTAAGTTTATCAGAGGGTATCTGAACATAAAATTTTCCGCTTTTTTAGAATCCAAGGTCAAAAATAGGGGTTTCCATTGAAGAAACATGAGTTGACCTTCAAATAACCTTGAAAATGGAGATTAAGGTCAAAGTCAAGGTCATCATAAGGTAACTTATTTAATTCCTGCAACTTTTATTTAGGTCATTTTTCTTGAAACTTCAATACTGAAGAGTTAGAGGGTAATCTGTTATTTTTGGGACACTCTGTATATACAAAATGTAACTAAACGAACAAATACGAAGCACATCATCAGGTGCCGGACAAGAAATTAAGTCGAAAAACCCATTTTTTAATTTGAGTTTTATTTTTGACGCCATAAATTGTTAAAGTGTGCCAAATAGCGCGTGACTATATACGGAAAACAGCATACTAAGGCCTACTAAGTCGATGTCTACTTGAGTCTCGATGCTCTCGAGGCCCGCGACCGCCATCTAGTAGCCCTTAGTACGTCTACTAAGGCGCCTACGCTATCTACCGTTGTAGCCACGCGCTAATTGGCAAACTTTAACAATTTATAGCGTCAAAAATAAAACTTAAATTAAAAAATGGCTCAGGACTTTTCGATTTAATTTGTTGGCCTGCACTTGATGATATGTTTTGTATTCGTTCGTTTAGTTACACCTTGTATATACTATATGTATATTGAATGAAAATCTGCCACAAAGAACACATGATAAAACTTAGAGTAATCAGTTTCAAATGATTGTATAAGATTGGAAAAATTTAAAAGCTCGGAAAGTAAATATATTTTGCTACATAATGCTAGGTCGCATATTGTTTTTTCTTAACAAATTATCTTTAATTTAGGGTAAAAAATTTACTTGCACGGTATATTCTTTAGTGTTATTAGATTATCATCTGTTCCTGTCAATACAGAAACTTTCTAGCTAAGCAACACTTCAAAGATGTGATTGATATGTATTTTATGAAAATTTAATTGCCTCTAAACTAGTATCTTTTTTTACAATCAAATCCAATAGTTGCTCGGGAAATGGCAAAAAGTACAAAATAAGAGCAAATATTTTAATAAATATTTGCAAAATATTGTGAAGCATTCTTAAATTTTATCATATACATATATTATACAGAATAATCCATTTTAAAGGATTAAAATATCTCAGAAACACTGCATTAAATCGAAAAATATTTCAAACAAATTTGTATGGCTTCAAGAAGACCGTAAGATGATAACAATAATTTGACCTTGGACAGTCGTGTAAAGGTCACCGTCAATTTCTTAAAAAGAATAACTTATTTTTTAATGCATATTATTGTAGTTTATCTCATTGTCAAAAGCTTTTTTAAAAAACTTATAATAAAGTGTTTTTTTATTAAATACTTTTTAATCTATAAAGGTTTGAAGTAAACATTTTTTTGACATAAGATAAAATATATCTTGTCAAATATTCAATCTTTCTTAATCTAACCCTAATACTTTTTTTATACAGAATAATGAGCTCAATTAGTGTTTGAGAAAGTATAATATTAAAATCCAGCCGTTAAATCGTCTCTCGAACTCTGAAACAAAACGCCGCTTTCGGACTGCCCAAGTTGTTTTTAATTTTTTCGAGACCAATAATGACAGGAAAAATAAGTGGACTCGAGACAAATAAATCTATCAACCCGCAATTGATTGGAAGAATTATATTGTCATGTTCCAATTGTTTAGAGTCATTCGGTCAGAGGTAGCTCGACTTTAATTTATTTGCCGAATTTGAGGCACTATACGACCAGATTTCATCCAGAAAATAACTCGGTTCGACTTGGAAATCTCGCACTCTTATAATTTTCACGCTTACTTGATTGCGTCCTGTCTGTTCAAGAGTTCGAATTTGAATTGAATAAATTTTAATTTTCAGATTAATTGAACATATTAACTAACGTCTATATTTTCTTCCGGCGCACAAATAAATTATTCTGATGCAGTCGCAATTATAAGAAAGGAATTATCGAAAGCGCGGCTATAATTAGTACAAAGAAAATAGATAATTGTTTTAAAAATGTAATTTTCAACATACAGCTGCATACTTTTTCTTAAAAGCAATTGTGTTGTTTTTACACTAATTGATTGGTCTTATTATTACATGCATAAAAGTATTAAGATATGACTCCAAAAGCTGAATATTTTACAAGATATTTTATCAAGGTAAAATATATTGTAATTGCCAGTCAATTAAAAATCAAGGTTGTGAGTTTAAATTGACAACACTGGCTAATAATAAAAAGTTATTTATTAAACAGGCAACGTTTCAACCCTGGAATTGGGTCCTCTTCAGGCTACAATATTAAAACAAGTAGTCGTAAATACAAAGAAAAAGAAAACGCAACAATTTTTTTCCATACAATTCACGTAAATCATAATAAAGTTACAAAAAAGAAAAAACATTATAAATTGATGTAAAGGGTTAAATTATGCGCATAATATTGAAACTTATGTAAAAAATGTAAGGCTCCTTGAAAGAAAAACGAAACAAATTAAAA